TCCCATCCTCCCAGGTGTTAACTCAGGTCCTGGGAAATCTTTGACACCCGATCCCTTATTAGATGATGTCATAATCATTTTTCCCATTATTATACCTTTCATAACTGTGCTTTTTACATTTATCTGGGCAAATATTAGATTATCTATTTCCTTCATTAGAGTTCTCAAGGAAGAGGTACACAGTGAGGGAGTCAGTATCAGTATTTAGCTGACAGTGTCAGTATTTAGCTGACACCCCATTCCACAGCCTTGAGTTATCCTCTTTAAAAGAGGTTTTGCAAAGAAATGGATTCACCATGATTTGTGAAAATGGAAATTCATCCCTGGATTTCTCTGTAAGACTTCTAATCAACATAATGGATGTGGCTGGAAAAAAAAGAACTAGGAGCTCTTTTGCCCAAGACCATCTTGCAAAAGAAGAATAGATGCAAACAGACAGTTATCTAAACTTTCAAAGCCAGAGGAATTGCTCCTGCAGCCAGAAGTCTAGAAAGGAAACACCTCTCAGTTTCTCTGCAGCAGAAATTGTTGCTGCCTAGAAATTCTGTGGGATGATTTTGCAGATCAGTTGGTTTTTTTTTTTTTGAGACAATCTCACATGTCAAATGTGGATTTGTAATCCTTTCCTGCTGACACAGGAAAATATTAGTGATCCAGAGCCTGCCAAAGTTACTGACAAAGGATATGATGTAATGTGATGTCCACTCAGAGCCTTACAGAATTTTGTCCCAGGCCTACCAGTGCCTGAAAATATTAATTAAAGGACTTTAAGTAACATTTGATACTTTGATGAGTTGTTAACATGTTTACATCCTATAAAATAAAATCAGTCTGGTATCATAAGTATATATACATTACTATAACAAAAATTAACTTGATAATACTAATCTTGTATTTTCTGGTATTATGTAAGCACAAACTGCAAGTGTAGTATGCGTGGGTGTATTTTTCTGCAAAGGAGGCCTGTAGGGTTCTTGCTTTTTAAGGTGCTAAAGATTGAACCAAGCATCTCATGCATGTTATGCAAACACTCTACCACCCCCAAACCTGAGATCTATACTTTTTAATCTGTTCCCTAAGGAGTTTCTTTATTTCTAAGTGTTGGAATGAGCACATTATGTATTAAGCCTATTTTAGTTCTAAAATTACATAAATCTTAAAGTCTAATGCCAAACTGGTGAATTTTACTGGGAAATTTAGTGACTATACAGATATTTTTTATTAGCATTGTTAAATGTCTGCCTGAAAAATATTCCATTTTTTGATATCCTGTGTATAGAACTAATGACTCAGGTATAATCTTGACTCATAGATGTATAGGATAAACAATAGGCTCATAGTTTTCCCTTTGTCTGAGCTGTATACAGCTGAGGTCAACTTAAAGGAAGAGTGTCAGGCCCCACCACAGCAGGAAAAAGGAAGAATTTGTAGGTAACTAATAACTTTTAACCAATAGTCAGTATGTGCTACTCACTTACACAGAAAAAAAAATGTCCTCTCTTATAACAACCAAAATGCAAGGGTAGCTGAACTGAACACCTGCATGCTAACTCCCCACTCACTGCAGTTCTGGAAAGGGAGGGAGAGAAAGCAGGTGGCAATGTGTGCTTCTCTAAATAATGGTATCTTGTTGGTCTAAACATTTGCACTAGACAGGAAGTGATAGGGAGAAAAGTCCAGACCCACACTCAGCGCCATTCCAGGGGCATAGGAGTGGTTTGTACTCAAGACTTCCTATTTTGTTGTAGGGAATTACAGCTGCGAAATGGATGATGAAAGATATAGACTTGGAATGTCAGAGTTTTAACCACAGGTTATTAAAAGGTACCAATTTTTATTCCTTTTTCAGTATTTTATAAAGGTGTAAGAATGCTTTTCAGAAACCACTGCCACTGTGTAAGGTAGCACTGCTTGTCCAAGAAGTTTAAACGCTTGCTATACAGTATCTTAGCATCCACACCAATTCCCTCACTCCTCCTTCAAGAAATCCTCCGCTGCTTGCTCTCCAATATGCTTTGCTTTAGTTGCTCTCCAATATGAAATAAATATTGGAACATTTTCCTTTTGTCCTTCAACAAAATTCCTTTGACATCAAACTGAAGAGCTTGGATAGAGGAATAACATTAGTGAAAAATACAAATTTATCTCTTCTCCTTTACAGAACAGCACTGGGTCCCAGTCATGTCTTCCTGGTTAACTTGGGGTTGGGGTTCATTTCTTAAGGCACATTTCTCCCCACAATCCTCAATGATAACACTGGATGGGAATCTAAAGGGTCTGTTGACAGTATTAAATATCACAAGGTTTGAGGTGGGGTAGGTTGGACTCCTCACCACTGATCAATTTTTCAGTCTGAGGGTTTATCTACCTGACAAGAAGATTTGAACTGCTGCCATTTCTAAATTGCACTTCTAAATATTGACTTAGTGGAGACTCAAAGTGTCATAACACAGCCCACTGGAGCAATGAAAATTTTCCAGGCCCCATCGAGAGGTCTGTACAATGTCTCACAGGGAGTAGGGAAGGATGAAGAGTGTTGAAGAAGAAAAATAAAATCAAGTAATGTTTGGAAGAAATGCCACTGCACTTCACTTAATGTCCAGAGACAAATGAGCACTTACGGGGCTGTTGGCTGAGGCTGGAGGTGAACAGGGTGCAGACCAAAAGGACGCAGTTAAACCACTAGTCTCTCAGTCATTGACTAGGAGGCATGAAGTTCCCAGGGCACTGCTGGCTGGGCTGGGAAGAAGTAACAACCAACTCTCTAAGAGCTGTTTCTTGGGTAACCAGATTTGAAGGACTAGATAGTGTCTAAGAAATGTTTCATCTAATTTCTATCAAGGCTTCAACACAGCATCTTCATTTAAGTCACTGTGCAAATTCTAGGAAGCTATTACTTTAGCTTCTCTCCTCCTGATTGTTAACACCGTAGCTGGTCTTAAGACATTTTTGTCACATCACATTAGCTATTAAACTGTGAGTCAAAGGAAGTGATTGGCCTCTTCCTGCCCTTCAGGAAGTGTTTTGGAGAAGCAATGAGATATTTTACATGCAAGTTAGCTTTGAAATTCACTAGCTCCTCAGTGATATATAAATTCATATTCTGCCAAATGAGAGAAAACATAATGCTCTGTAATGCTGCAGAAAGAAGCTTAGAATATGGCAACTTTCCCTTTTTAGGATTCCCCCTCCCTCATTTTGCCACAGCATTTGTATCCATGGCTGTGGAAAAATCACACGGACAATGGATTAGATAGGGAAGAGTCACATGAAGAGTTGGGGCATGTTTGTGGGGGAGGTGCTCTGAAAAGCACGAAGAACTTAAGATACAGCAAGGGAAACCAACCAGCTATTATGGAAGGTATTGCCTATGGTGTTGTGGCAATATTCATCTTAATGGTTCTTTAAAGTGGTTTTGGTTGCTAAGGTAATGAGCCCAATCTATTCCCTCTCTTTTGTCTATACATATGACCTCTTGTGTTTGTTGATAATAATACTTCTGAGAATAAATTTGAAGTGCACTAAAATCTTTAGAGTTTAGGACTCATTGTGATTGGCTCAACCATGAATTTGGTTCCTCCAGTTGTGTCTCATTAAACTGGCCCGGGCACTGATTTGCATCCTTAATTAACACCCAAATCTGTGAAAAGCTGAGTCTCAATCTGAGATAAGACAGGTCTCCTAAACCCTCCCCTGCTTACAAACTTCTCATGCCAGGCTAGGTGATGGACAGAACTCCACGTGTCTTCAGAATTCTTACTGATTCCCCTCAAACCACCTCTGTTACCAAGGCGAGTCTATGCCTGATTATTTATTAATTTATCTATTTATTGCTGGGTTTTGACATTGCACCCTGCTCTGGACTTCCTGAGCTCACCTATGCATGCCTTTCACTGTGTCAGCTCTTGTGGCTCCCATCACAGCCCGGATGTGGGTGCTTTTTGTGTCTCCATCTGTATGAGTTCTATGCTTCTCTGAGAGCTAGCACACCCTTGAGTGCCCTGAGCAGCTCTCCATGTGGCCCCTCCATACAGCCTCCTCCAGACTCCTACCAAAGCTCTTGCCCTCCTGTGGGCCATCCGTGCTTCAGCCTTGCTTACTCATTCTATTCTCCAGGCTCCCTACACATGAAGGCCTCCCTTCCCCATAACCCAGCACATTTCCACAGTTCCCTCCCACTAAACAAAGCCATTGAGATACCTTCAAGTGGCTTTTCCCCATGTCCTACTAGGCTGCTGTTCACTTAGGGTTTTTTTTTTTTTTTTTTTCAGTTTTTCCTTTCTTCTAGGCTTCCCCTTATTTCTTTGTCCCTACTGTCAATTACAAGTTTTACAACACTGAAAATCAGGAGAAAAGTGCTTTTGGCCATGAGCTTGGAAAAGTCAAGTTACTTACCACTTAATGAATGAGTGAATACCATCAATGGTAAATTGGTTATATTGTTAGCATTGCACTCGCTCATCCTTAATGAAATATATTAACTGCCAGTGTGGAAGTATTCCAAGGACTTCTCACAGTAAACAAGGAAGGTTACAGTTGCAGTAAGTAAAATAATGTAGTTCTTTAGTCATCTAGGATTGACAAAGGGAGTTTTGACACAGAGAAAACTACTTTTTGAACTACCAAAAAGTTATGAGGTCTTTGAATTCTCTTTTCAATACTGTGTGGGAGCTCAAATATCTATAGAAACGGTACACCAATTATTTTTTAATATTTAACAAACATATTATAATTGATATCTGCCACTTACCTAAATTTTTGCACATGAAAGAAACATGATATATTGCAGCAGTATTATCAAGTCAAAGGAAACAGGGAATGGCATTTTTTTTGGCATGTTAGTTCAAAGCAAAAATTTAAGACATTTAAGACTTTTCTTAAGTAAGAATCTCACTTTTGAAATCATGGCACAGCCTTTAAACAAGAGCATTCCTTTCTCTGGAAGACTCCATGTTGTTTTATTTGGAAGACTGGAGGATGCTGGAGGCCAGCATACTCACCTGGCCAATAATACATGTGGACCTTTCTTTTGGCCTTGGTCAGAGTGACCCACAGAGGCTCTGATCCATTCCACCACAGTGGCATCAAGCTATCTCTGTTAACGCCGATATCAAATGACTTATTGGTGCTGGGATCCCACATGTAGTTGCCAGTCATCTGATGGACTTCACAATGACGACCTGCATGAATGAGAACACAAAGCTGTCAGATTTTTGTGGGTTTCTTTTTTTTTTCTGAATATAAAAGCAATTCATACTCATTTTGGAAGTCTAGAACATCATCAAGATTTTCTGTTGATTCCTTAAATTATAGATCTTTCTTCTTTTTTGGACTGTACTATAAAAACCAACAATCTGGTGAGATGTCTACTAATTGACTGAGGATGGGGATCCCATTCGGAGAGGCCAGGCAGGCAAATTTAAGCTGTTTTAAGTTATAATGAGGATGTTGTACATAGTGTTAGGCTCTCAGTTCATGGCTTGACGTCTAAATACCAATCAAAATAGAAACAATTGATTTCTGGGAGACCTGGGATATGTTCTCACCCCACAGCTCTCTCTGCACTGCTTCCAAATCCTCCTCCCACACGATCAGCACCTTAACTGATCTCGTGTCTGTTCTCTCCTCTCTTGAGTCAAAGGGAGTTATTTCTTCAGTGCTGAACAATGATGCAATCTGTGACATTTGGAATAGGATGGTGGAAAAGAATACTCAGCTTTGAAAAACAAAGCCAGAAAACAACTCTCCAAATAGACTGTTCTATAGAAATGAGGGCTGGTACTGAGGGGCACAGCTCAGTCCCAGAAGAGAAGCCAGAAGCAAAAGACGCAAGCGTTGGACTCTTTTGAAATATTAGGCTTAAATTATTTATTTTGGAGCAATCTGTTACATCTTTAAAGTAAAAATAACACAAACATTGGCAAGTGCATCAAAAATTACTGCAATTTTAGTGAGCGTCACTTGGCACTAGTGTGAAACGGGCTTCACTGAACTCCCTAACTGGGCTTAATCAAAGTGGCCTTTTTGTTTGTTTGTTTGTTTGTTTGCTGTTTTGTTTCTTTTGGTCTCTTTCTCACCAACATTTTATTTTTAAACAAAAACAAAAAGAAACAATAAAATACGATTTTGAAAATTTGGACACTGAAACTAACACAAAGGAAAAACCTTTCATTTCATCACAGAAAGCAAGGCATTCTACAACTGACACCTGGAATTTAAAACTCAAAAACCTAAACACAATGGTTTTTGCCCAAAGATCTCCTTGATCTTAACTAAAGCTTTATATGTGGGTTATTAATTTTTTTAAAAAACTAAGATATTGAACAATTCTTCCAATGGTTAAGGAACTTTAACTCACATTTATTAAATGTTCATACATGTACAGTCATATTATTATACACTGTAACAGGCAGAGAACTTGAAATAGGAATAAATGGTCCCCATCCTTAACACTCAACAGAAGGTCTTATACAGGAAAGAGACGTATTTCCTAGGATGGAGGCTAGAAAGGGACCAGGTTGCAGGCATAACTGGAAAATCATACCCATCCTCACCTACCATGTTACAGGACACAACTCCAAGTATGCACCACCCAACTCATTAAGTAAGAACATACTTCTTATTGGTTCAGTTATATGAAACTTCAAGAGCACTCTTATAACTAAAATTTAATTTTCGCCCTTATTCAAAATAATTATTTCCATATCAAGAACTTTTGTCATCCTGATGATGCTTGTTTACCTTTCACAGGGAAAGATAATCATGATAGCATCCAATGGAATCAGTTTTTCCCAGTATATGGTCTCTGTCACCCTCCCAAGTGTAGCGAGAACATCTCACCTGATGATGCTGATATGAAGGAAACTTTTCAGAAATGCAAAATTGGAAGTGGATATGAAAGGTATTACTGAGATCACTGACCAAAAAAGAGCTCTCAACTAACCATCAATGAAAGACCAGAAAAGGTAGGGATATCAGATATGGGAACAATAGGAAGTTACCCAATAGGCAACATCTCTGCCTTCAGATTTGAACTGTTGAACCATTTTAAACCCAAATACAAGCTAAGGCCTCCTGTGAAGTAGTTTTCAGAAAATACCAGATTTAAAGCAGCAGGAAGTAAACAAATATAATTGCTGAAGAACTCGCATATCTCCCAAACCACCCAGTGTCATTTAGTACATTTCTCCTCCTCTCTATTCATGTGCAGGACTCTGAACCCCAAAGCGTCCAAACTCTTAACCTCCTTGACTCTCTGCCCTTGGAGTAAAAAACTGAAACCCAGACAGCAACAGAGACAAAGTCAGAGACAAATACAAGATGGGCAAAGACAGAGTCAGAAAACATTTTCCTAGAGAATTTCTATATCGTAGAGCTCTTCAACAAGAAAGTCATCTCAAACTCATATTCAGAAAGTCGGTTGTTTTGGTGGGTTGGCTCACTTGAAATCAGAAGGTGTGTTCTCAAAGGCTCAACTGCAGATGCTATCCCAATCCCCAGGGGTGTCCCTTTGTTCTGGACCTTTCTGAATCCAGTAGGAAGACATATTTATACCTTCTCTCTTCTGCCCCAAATCTCCTCTCCTAGCTGACTCGACCTCCCTTCCATGACTACAGTAGGACTGACGGTCTCAGCCTGCTCTTATTCAAGCTGATTTTCTTACCTATCCTCGCTCTTTGGCTCTTTCATTTTTGTTGCCTGGTTAGAAGCGGTGGCTGAAAGAACAGAACAGAACAAAACAAAACACAGCGTTCTCACTTCTGCAGCCCACAAATGCTCATCTCCATGCTACTGCCTGACCCATCTCTATTTTTGTACATCTGCAAATCTTCTTGATTTTTCTCTAGTTTGCACTTTGCAAACAGAGCTTTGCTACAGTTTGGTTATTTGACTCTTGCTTAAGGATTTGGTAGAAACTTCCCTGACTCCGTCAGACAATACAATCTCAGGTGGTATTCAGGAATGAGAATCAAAGGACATCTCTGTGGGTCTTTAACATTTGAGCTCCATTGTCTCTGAGAGAGCACATGGAATAGCTCCCTGTGTAGAAGTGCCATATTAATGTCACTGAATACGACATTTTCATTTTTTATTTCTTATAGTCTTATTCACTTGTGTTCTGATGTAATTAATGACCATCTCTAGAGCTTTTTTAGCAAGCCTGAACAACTCTGCACCACATTATATATTTCCAATGGCAGCTAGCCTTCACATCCTGTGTCTTCTTTTACTTCCTTTACTGTTTTTTAAAAAATTCATTCAACATGCCTGCTGTGGTTTGGTTAGGGCATGGCCCCCCAAGTGTTTGTGTGCTAGAAGCTTGCACTCCATTGTGGGGTGTTAGGAGGTGGTGAAACCTTTAAGAAGTCAGGCTCAGGGGGAGGTGATTCAGCCAAGGAAGCTCTGCCTCTGGAAGGAAATCGTGTAGTTTTCATAAGATGAGTTATTTCTCAAGAGAACAGGTTATTGTAAAGTACAGCCACCCCACTTTCTTGACATCTTTGGCATATGACCCTTTTCCTTTCCACTTCTCAGCTATGTTATGCTGCAGCTGGGGGTGGTGGAGACAGAATTACCAGAATGCTGGTACCAAATGTTTGGATCTTGCGATAATAAGCCAAATAAATTTCTCTATTTTGTAAGTCATGCAGAGTTAGGTATTTTTTATTGTAATACAAAAATGTACTAATACAATGCATTTGTCAAATAATATATAGCTGCTAGACATGTAAAGATAAGTCTTCATTTTAGACCAGTTGGAAAACAGTGAGGCACCACAAACAGGAGCTCTTCTATTTACTAAGTGTATAATCTTGGACAAGTAGCTTAGACTCTCTCAAGCCTCATTTTCTTATCTGAGTAATTGTTGTGATAATAGCTATTATAAAATACAGTATCTCTTTTGCATGGAGTATGGGACTATGAAAACGCCTTTGAAAGATGAAACCATATGAAACTATCTTAATAATCAGTGGGAAAAATAACCATTAAAAATGTGGTCAAAGCAGCATAAGATAGCATGCACTTGTAATCTCAGTTATCAGGAGACTGAGCCAGGACTGTCATGAGTTCAAGACCAGCCTCATCTATAAAGTGAAACCCTGTCTCAAAAAACAAAAACTGAAACATTATCAAAATATTAACATTGTTCTTACTGTCAATTACAACTAGTAACATAGACAAATGAAGACACATAATAAAACGATGAAGTACTAGTATACTGCAACTTCAAACATTGAGAATTGGAGTTTTATTTCTTAGTTAAAAACTTAACAAAATGGTTTGAATAGTGTTCACTTTCTTCTAGACCAAAACACAATATAACGTTTTTATTATGCTTTGGTGGATTGTTACACTCTAGGCTTGTATTAGCTTCCAAAATTTTATTCTTTGTGCATTCAATGCCATTAAATAACCTCATAAGTTCCTTTTACATGAGGTCTTTTGCTGGTGTCACATCCTCAAGGATATCTTCATCCTTTTGGTCACAACTGCTGTCCTCATTGCTATGGCTTGGATATTGTTTTCTCACCAGACTTTTATGTGCAGGAAGATTGGTCCCAGGGTGCAGGCTTGGAGGGGACACAACCATTAAGAGATGAGACCTAGAGGAAGTCACTAGGGTCATGGAGGCTCCATCTGATCAATAGGCTTGTGTGACCTCATGGGAGGGGACTAAATCTCCAGTGACTGGATTAGTTCTTGGGACAGCACATTGTTGTAAAGTGACAACACCCCTTGCCCTAGCCCCTTCTGCATGTGGCCATCTCCCTTTCCACTTTTATATTGTGTATTTTAAAGTTTTATTAGTACATATTTTCAGTATATGCATTTTACAGTCATCTTGGGGAGTTGGCACACATACACATTACATTTTATTTCTTTTTTTAATCCCCTTCCCTTCCTCCTCCTCTAATTTTCCTTTCCCTCTCTTCATTCTTGCTGATATCATTAATCTTTTTTTAAATCTTTTTACCGGTACCGGGGATCAAACTCATGACCGCCTGCTTGCAAGGCAGAGCTTATGCCGCTGAGCTAAATCCCCAGCCCGTCTTAATGATATTATTATTAACATCTTATTTCATGTTCATGGCAAAAAAAAAATCACATTGGTCACAAGGTAAAGGGCCTTAACTAGACACCAGAAAGCAGGTGGGCTGGACATCCCCTGAAGTGGGAT